GAAAGGGGAGAAACACAAGAGGAAGAGGTAGAAACCATCATGGAGATGCTTCCAATCTTCTTTGCACTTGTGCTGAGCTTCTCTTGAGGAGAATCTTCCCAATTCACCACTTGGTGCAAACCCTAGCCTTCCTTATCCTTTTGTTCGTTCTTTCTCTCTCTAAAAGCTGAAGAAGAAGACACTTTCTCATTCTTGGGCTCTCCCTCTCTCTTCCTTTCAGCTCTCTTTTTAAACAAAGATCGGGCTCAGTTCACGGTCGTGAACTCTTGAACGCGTCCGTGAACTCAAGGTTGGCGTCGAAACGCACCGCTTCGCTTGCTCAGGATCACGGACAACAGCTCCTGTTCATGGTCTTAGTGACCGTGAACTCACCTAGCGTCAGTAACTTAGAATTTGGCCCTGGACGCCTTGATGTTCACGGGCAACAGATCCTCTTCACGGTCTAAGCAGACCGTGAACTTCCAAGAGAAACCGTGAGCTGCCCGTTTTTTTTACCTCTTCTCCCAATTTTCGCTCATTTTCGTCCAACTTTCGACTCGTGTGCTGGTTTCCCTATTAAATCCTGAAAACATGCTAAAACATAAGAAACCTCGCGTAAAACCACCCTGTTAGGAGCACAATTGCCACAAAAGCCTAAGGAAAACGGGGGGTAAAATATGTACAATTAGGCCCAAATCACTCCCCCACACTTAGACGTTTGCTTGTCCCCAAGCAAACCATTTCACACAAGGTAATATTTTAGCCTACAAAAATACTTTGGGGACAACTCAAAGGGCACAAAGTGGGAATTCTCGATGGCTATTGGAAATTAATATATGGACCGTTGTAAGCAATACCGACATCCACCACAAACGAAATTCGAGGCCACCAAAAGTGAGCAAACGAAAAGTTCTCACCTTTTTCATGGATCAATGCAAGTCTCAACAAGACAACCTATCAACCACAGCTACCCATGCATAGAATTCAAGTCCGATGACAAATGGAAAGGCAACAAAGGTCCTCACCGATGACAAACAATCATCATCGCAAAAAAGTCTCCAAGCATTTTGCGACGACAAATTTCGTCGCAATTAATCTTCCTACATACAACGACTAAATAATCCGTCGCGAAAAACAAATGTTTGTTGCAAAACACTCTATCCTACCTACCTCTAAATAGTGACATAATGCGCGACGTAAAATTGAAATTCTTCGCAAATAGTGCAATTTATGCGACGAATTTCTTGCCGTCGCAATAGAATCTTTCGCAGGTATTCTACACCATCAAATTGCGGGGGTGTGTTCTTCAAGATTGGCGTATGTTGGTCAAGGTTGATGTTGTTCTTCCCACCATCATCTTCCGGGGCGTGTTAGAGATAGGTTATGAATAATCTTATATTTTCTTGTCCTTCTAGTATAGTTCTTAGTATTTCCGTGTCCTTCTAGTATTTTACATTTTTACTTATTGTGGTTCTATTACTTATTGTCCAAGTCTTGTAATCTATATAAACCCCTTTGTGGTTTCATAATAATACAAGCCACAAATAGGGATGGCAATCAAACCCATGACCGCGGGTATCCGACCGCCCCCGACCCAGTCAACGCGGGGAATCCCCGCTTTGACCGGGTATGGGGCGGGTATGGGTAAAACCCGCAAAAAGTTTGATGGGTATGGGGCGGGTATGGTTTTAGCCTCCCCCGCCCCATACCCATCCCCATACCCGCCCCACCGAGATAATTTCTTCATATATAAAAAAAATATGTGCATCAAATTATAATCTATCAATGATGATGAGGATAACTTGAGAAAATAAATAGTAGAAATGCAATTGATTGACCACCTTAATCAAAATCTAATTCATTTATCTCAATTCTCATTTCACTCTTTCACTTTCCCCCTTGTCAACAAGATTATGTTAGTTAATTGTTATTTAGTAGATATATCAGAGTTAGAACATAATAATTTGAAAAATATTATACTCTATATTATGTATTAATGGTGATTTTAGGATCATAATCTTTGAAACATATTAAAAAATGACCGTGTTTTATTGACTTCATGATATAATATGTTCGTTTAGAATTATAATTAGAACTTTTCTTGTAAGTTTTAGGTATAATAATGTTGGATGTACGGGTATGAGTATTACCCATGGGTACCCGAAACCCACGGGTATGGGGATGGGTTTGCAAAACATTCCCCCGCATGGGTATGGGGCGGGTATGGGTTTGGGTATTTGAAGATGGGTATGGGGATGGTTTAAGCAAACCCGCCCCAAACCCGCCCCATTGCCATCTCTAGCCACAAACTACAAGTTACACACTACTATTCCTAAAACTCCTATAAATATAACAACGAGAAGGTGACTCTAGAGGCTAGAAACGGCGGATCAGAGATGTCAAAAATCCTAGGTTTAATATATACTAGGCGGAATAGGCCGCACTTTGCTGCGACTTCCAATTTTTAATTGGTATGCTAGCCTGTCTTTGTCTGGGAAGGGGGAAAATCAAAGTAACCTTTTGGTCTGGTCGATTAAATGCGTTTAATGATCTCATTGCTTTAGTACGATCTAATTTTAATATATGAAAAAGTTATTATAATGTGCATCCATATATAAATCATATCAAATCTCATTTAACATACGAATAATAACATATAACATCGCACCAAAATAAAATATCGTATTTGAATCCAACATATAATAAAAATTCATTATATTCAAAAGTTCAATTTCGAATTCAATAATAGGGGTAGGGCAAGAGAAAAACAAAAAAAAAGTGCATTTGACAAAGCCAAAGAAAAAAATACATGGCGTGACCTACAACCCAAAAATCTTGTAACGGGCAAACCTGTGAATTTGTAGAGTCCATTTTTCTCACTTGATAAGGATGAAGCGGATGGACCTGTGTTGACAACTTTGGGAAGAATTAAGGGTAAATATAAGGAAATAATTCCATTCTCAATAAGAATATATGGGCTTAAATGAAAATGCAAGTGATGTATCAAAGGAAAAATAATGTATGTTTAGTGATAAATTGATTGGGAAGTTAACCCTATAAGGAAATTAACCCTTCCCTCGTTACTTTCTCGTTTAGTGGCTGGGTAAATTTAAAGCAACAAAGAAAAAAACCTTCTAGAATCCTCTGTACACATGTTTCTCTGTTTCCTATCGCCCCTCTTCTCACTCTCTTCAATTTCCTATCTCCTTCTAATCAAATATCATTCTTCTTCCCCCAGTCACTCCTCTCCTTACGGATTTCGTTCAGTTTTCTTTCATAACCCTATTGTTTCAATCTTCGTCTCGTTGATTTTCCCATCTAGGCATACATGGTTCAAAAAGGGTCCGATGAATCTAGATTGAGTCAAACCAAATTAGATTCCTACAATACTCGGCATCGTTGCCGTACCTCATGTCTGGTCCCGATAGCTCACCTGAGAGTTGCTCATGGCCAGCGCATGTTACGGGTCATCATGTCTCCTTCTCTTTTTTAAATATAAACCTCTAATCCCCTAACATGCAGGGAAGATCGATTAGTCGCACGAAATATACCGAAGCAGAATTGTAGAGGTGAGGATGTAAATTAAATTGAATTTGGTGCATGCAAAGTGAGAAACCGGTAGATCTGAAAACTCTCCATGTTTTGCCTCATCTTTGCTTCAGCTTCCTCTTCCTTATGCTGTCGTGGGCCATATTTTCTTATTATGATTCGAGCCAAAACTTTAAATTCAGTGGGAAATAAAACTGACATCTTAAGTTTAATTACTGATTTTTGGGGGAGTTCTATGGTGTCGGCACCTATGCTATGCAGGTCTATAGTGAGCCCGTCTATGCCGGTCTAACTCATACTTACCAAGAAGGGAATAGAGTCGCGGACTGGTTTTCGAAGCACCATCTCGTCTATTCCTACGGTATGTACGAGGCATCACGTTCTCTAGAAGAGTGGTGGTCTCGTCCCTTCTCACCTCTTCCGAATCTCTGTAACTACTGCTTCTTTTCTTTGGCCTAGCGCCTCCAAGCAATGCAAAAAAAAAAAAAAAACCCCTATGCTATGCAGGTGGTGAATCCGCGTTATTAATGATTTGGTGCGGGTGAGGGAAAGAAAATGACAGTTGGTGCAGGATAGAATAAACCTTATGCAACAGTAACCTCATTGGAACTTTACTAAGATTTATTTATGGACTCTTGTAACAATGTGTTTCTCAACAATTTACCCCTCAACTTGCACCCTCTCGAACTTGCACCCCCTTGTTGCTAAACATAGTGTTAATAAGATTCATGGACTCTTGTAACAATGTGTTTCTCCTTTGATGTGAGCAGCTAAAACTCCTTGTATGGGCTAACGAAACTCATAGTGGTTCGAAGATACTATGTTAGGTTTGAAATGATTTTGATAAGTTTTTATTCCTTGATTCTTTGTCTCCTTGCTTGCTTATCTTTCAATTTAATCATAGGCTAAAAATCGCAGTTCTTTCTAGTTTTAGTTGAGTTCAATGGGGAAGACTATAAATTGATTCTTTGTGTCTTGGATCACCCATTAAAGAAAATAGATGTATCAATTAATATCTCGGGTTTTAGCGGATGGGTCGATACATGTTTAGATTGTCAGTTTTGGGTCTGCTCTGTAACCGTTTCCTTTATCATATTGGATTAGGTTTTAGACCCACATGGAGAAGTATAAATACTTCTCATCTCCTCTGTAATCTGTAATCTTCTCGATATAGTGAAACTGACTCTCTCTTGCCTGTGAACGTAGCTAACACATCGTGTTAGTGAACCACGTAAATTGTGTGTCTGTTTTCGAATCTCACTTTCGTATTCTTGCTTTCTCGATTCTGGCAATTTCCCAATATGTAGCAGCGCAGTTATAACAGTTAAACCATTAGATTAAAATATAAGGAGTTTGATAGGTTAGGAACTAGGATTAAACTCAATTAAATTGTGTAATTGCATGGTTTGGGATTTTGATGAACTTTAGGGGAAGCGAAGTCTAAACAACGTTCGCCTTTTATTGTTCAAGAAACCATAATTAAACTTTTATCTAATTGTATTTGCTTGTTGATTTGTGGATAGATGGCGAGACCCGATCACAAAATCCTCAAAGAGGTAGAGAGAACCCTTCAAAGTTCACAATAAGTCCTCTCCTGAGTTAAGTGAAGCCCTTTCTAGCTTCAACAACTCCATCTGAGATCTTGTCTGCCATTACTATCACTAATAATGTGCGAAGGTAGATAGGCGAAGTCTCTCCCTAGCTATTGAACTAGCATATGATTAGGGCGTTCGAGTGTTCCTCAGTTTTTCACAACTCTGGGCTTAATACCTAGCTATGTGGACTGTGTCGTCAAGATCATGATATCAGAGCAAACCAAAAAGAGTGTTCATAATAAACACTATAAATACTTCTTAAAGGCCTTAAATGAAAGCCTGAAAAATTCAATACAAATTATCGTTAGACCCAAACAACTCAAAATTAGGTTGGCAGAAGTAATACACAACTTAATTTGAAAAGTAGCGAATAGCTATCAATATATATCTACCTTGCTAGTTTGATTATTTTCCTCATGAGTCACAAAACTAATGTGTTTGATTCAAATCCAACAAAAATCTAATGCGTGTGGATCCACGGAGAGACGGATCATTAATGGTCGAACACTCACAATATCATTTATGAAATAGCTAACTAGCTAGGTCACATGTCATGGCATATTGATAGGTCACGTTACATTTATATATGTATGAATCTCAGCCTCTTACATGCATCCATTTTATAATTGAGGGTCCGGGTTATATACGACAGTTATTGCAGATGGGTAGACCAAAACCTTTTGATAAGTTGCATGTTCAGTTGTTTCTTCTTTTGTACATCTAGCCCTTCTATTGTTAGTCGTAGTATATATATGGCAAAAGGCTCATCATCCACATTCATATCTATTAAATGTATTTTGATATATTTCCTCAAATCAAAGTAGTAAAATATTATTATTTTATTGAATTAATCTTATGATTTGGGTTCAAAGAATTAATTCTAGAATTCTCATATCATTACCCAAATTTCAATGAATTTAAATGAATTGTTAGAGTATAATATCATTAATATACATGATGAATTCATTATGTAAATAATAAAACTCAATAGGCTTAGCCTGAACCATCTATATGTTAGATAGGATGTCCTTTTACAATACATTTGGTACACCGGAACGTATTAAATTCTTAAAAGCTTACTGTCGGAAGACAAGCTAGCATTTCACTGAATTTATATGTTGCACATTGCATGATATGCTGATAATGATATTAGTCTCCACTATGAGTGGGTGGTTCGTATCAGATCAAATCAATGTTTGGATCAGATCATATAGAATCAAATATAATATGGTCCGGTTGTTAGTAGTGGCGGACTCTTGTGGAGGGTAGGATTATCTTGGGACACTCCTAAATTTTGGGAGAAAATTAATGAATTTCGATAGCAATTTGATGGAAACTGGAAAAAATAAAAACAAATGGTTGTATATTTTATTCAAATGTATAAAACAGTAGGTATTTGTGAACATATTTTTTTAATTGAACACCTGGGATTTTATTAATTAGCCTTCAAAAATATTACAATCCGCTTCAAGATGCGAGAGTAGACACGCAGGCGGCCTATCCTCCCAGATCTCCTTGTCATCCCATCCACAATATAAATGGGCCATAGTATGGGCCACAATATTACCCTCCCACTTGGTGAAATTCCATTGGATCTGCCCCAGTGACTGGGCCTTGGCCCAAATTTCTGCTCCGAGCTCGCCTTCCTCTGTTAAGGACTCCACTTCACATTGTATCTTCCCAATCGCCTCTTGGCAGTCCGACTCAATCACCACCCTCGTCCATCGCCTTCAGTTCAGCAATTGCCGGCTTCCACTGACGTCGGTCTCGACGAACAGCTGCCAGCATACAAAGCCCGCTCCAATCCCTTGCAACAACCCCCGAACCAGTTCCTTCTCCGGCGAAGACTGCGACGTCGACATTGATTTTGATCCAACCCGTTGGTGGCTTCCTCCATTTCACAGGTGTGGGTTCCCTCCTCTCTTCCTCTTTCTGTCTTGCCGCTGTGAATTCCTCGTAGTAAGATAGGGCTCTCCCCACCACCTCCCATTCCTCCGCCTTTTTATTATTGAATAAGTGGTTGTTCCTTTCGTTCCACATATTCCATAGAATCATCGCCAATCTATCCATCTTCTCCTCCTCAATCTCCTCTGAGATCTCTCAAAACTAGGCTTGGCACGACTGATTCCCCCCCCCTCTCGAACAGACTTCGATACACTTCATTTGTTGTTGTAGTTTTGTAATAAATGTACTTATAAACGTGTAGACATTATCCCCAATTTTCCAAAGTCTAAAATTAAATTCATGAACGAAGCCTAATTCCTTCCATATTCTAAAACACGATTTTACCCCAAAGAGTTTGGTCACCTTTCCGGATTCTTTTCTCCTACGGGATTTGGAGAAAATTATCATTGTGTTAAACATGATGAGTTATTTGTGGATTAAAATGAAAATTTGAATTAGCTGATTTGATGATGGAGAAAAAATGAATCTATCATATTCATGGGTCTGTTTGCTTCTCAAAGTTATATTGATTTTATCGATTGCAACTTCAAGTGCCGAGAGAGCTTTTTTCAGCTTTGGATTGCTTAAAAAACATGTTTTGGAATCGAAATAAGGGGTCGTCGTACTCATATCACATTGAGTATGATTTTGCCATGGTGGACTCTACAAAAGGTGTTGTTCATATATTATTCAAAACCCAACACCTTACGACACGAGCTTATGATAACCATAGGTGATCAGTTTGTGAATGATTGTCTAGTAGGATATATTGAAATATATTTGTTGAGCACAATAAACAGTGAGTGTTTTTTTTTAATATTTTTCAAAATATGATAACATGTCATGGACGTTTCTTGTAACTTATATAGTTGGATATCATTTATTAATTTTTAATTTAACTTTGGAAAGGACACTATTATATAAAGTCTTATGATCCTTCACTGGTTGTTTTTCCTATGAATTTTATAAATACTGACGAAATATACACAAATTGACATTTTGGAACGAACTACATCGGACTAAATATACTATTAGTCCAGTCCTTAATCCTAAAATGCCTTTTACTAGTGTACTGCAGTTCTTCGTCGGATCGTTGCACGTCACTACTAGTATCCACAAAGGTAACTATTTGGGACAATCCACTTGATTCAAACTTTAATATGCTTTAACAGATATCGCTGCACAAATTGGCTTCGCGAACCTTGATAATCTCTCGATCCGTCATATGATTTGTTTCCTAAGAACTGGAGACATGTGCGGCGACATCTGTCATATAATTATAAACGTGTAGCCCTTATCCCCAATTTTTCGAAGTCTTAAATTAAATTCACGAACCAAGCCTTATTCCTACCGAATTCTAAAACACAATTTTACCCGGAAGAGTTTGGTCACCTTTCATATTCTTTTCTCCTAGAGGATTTGGAGAAATATTTGTCAAACATAATGAGTTATTTGTGGATTAAAATGAACAATTGAATTAGTTGATTTGATGTTGGAGACAAAAATGAATATATCATATCCATGGGTCCATTTGCTTCTCAAAGTTATATTAATTTTATCGATTGCAACTCCAAGTACCGAGAGAGCTTTTCAGCTTTGGATTACTTAAAAAAAGTTTTGGAATAATCGAATAGGCGATCAGTTTGTGAATGATTGTCTAGTATAATATATTGAAATATACTTGTTTAGCACATTAAACAGTGATTTTTTTTATTTTTTTATTTTTCCAAAATATGATAACACGTCATGGACGTTTCTTGTAACTTATACTAGTTGGATATTATTTCTTAATTTTTAATTTAAATTAATTTTTGGAAAGGACACTCTTATATAAAGTTTTATGATCCTTCACTAAATGTTTGTACTATGAATTTTATAAGTACTAAAGAAAAATAGACAAATTAACATTTGAATCGGACTACATCGGACTGAATACACTATTAGTCCAATCCTTAACTCTAAAATACATTTTATTATTGTACCGGAGATCTTCTCAGACCGTTGCATATCTCTACTAGTCTCCACAAAGGTAACTAACTATTTGGGACAATCCACTTGATTCGAACCTTAATACGCTTTAACAGATTTCGTTACGCGCAAACAAGCTTCGCGAAGCTTGATAATCTCTCGATCCGTAATATGATTTGTTTCCTAATTTGATCCTCCCACCCGTCAGTCTCAAATTAATGGATTGTCGGCCGGGCAACGAGTCGGTGCTTCAACTGGGAACTCATTCAGCTGGTGGTGGCCACATCACCGGGTTCGGCCCGACTGCAAAATCCACGAAGCCCGCGGGTGGGCCGGGAGTTAGGTTTTTTTTTAATAACCTGTACGAATGATGGGCCTCCGCCACGTGTGGATTCTTCTACCGACACACTTCTTTGCTCCCGTTTTAAGGAAAAATAGGAGAAAACTAACTCCATAAAACGAGGAGCTAAACGAAAGCTTAAGAGAGAAAAAGTTTAGAGAGATAGTGTTTCATTAGAGAGAGTAAACGCTCTTTCCTCTCTCCTCCCTTTCTTTCCTGTTTATGACCGTTGAGGGTCAACCCCCCCCCCCCCCCTACGGGGGAAGACCATTGTTTGAAACCTCCGGATGGATCCCCGTCGACCACGCTGATGCAACCAAGTAAGAAGGCGAAAGCGAGCTCTAGCACAGAGTTCTCTGGGAAAATCGGAATGGAATTTGCGATCGTCACAGCACAACCGGCGGATGATGATATGAACTCGGCTGAAGATATTGGTGAGAAGCAAACCACCTCACCACTCGACAAGACGAAGGAAGCAAGTGCAGGGAGGGCCAGCTACAGGGACTCCTTCCTGGGGAACTGCCCATCCATCGACATCCCTGAAGGGGATGAGCTGATGTTGGACGAATCGGAAACTGACGAAGCAGAGGACGACCCGGAATGCCTGACAATTCGAATAAAGAAAAGAACGAACGCAAAAATTTGCAACAGATGGAGACGAGCTATCACCTTCCGAGTCCTTGGGCGAAACTTCCCATTTGCTTTTGTCCAAAGACGAGTTCTGCGACTGTGGGCAAAAATGGGAGAAGTGAAAGTGGGCGACATTGGCAATGGCTATTTCCAGGCATCCTTCGATTCGCAAATTGATCATGATCGAGCTCTTTTTGGAGGGCCATGGACGATTGAAGATCACTACATTGTGGCAGAGCCGTGGCGACTCGACTTTGACCCTGACTTTGACACAATCGACCGCACGGTGGTGTGGGTAAGGCTACCTCGCCTGCCGCTTGCATACTTTGATGAAGAAATCCTCTTTGATATTGGCAACAAGCTTGGGAGGGTGCAGAAGATCGACTACAACACGACTTATGGTGTCAGAGGGAATTACGCCCAGATCTGTGTTGAAATCGATCTGAGGAAGAAATTGGTGTCCAAATACAGGATTAAAAGAAGAGTGCGCAGGGTGGAGTACGAAGGGCTGCACATTGTGTGCTTTGATTGTGGACACTATGGGCATGTTGCTGACAATTGCCCTGGAAAAAGGGGAAGAGAATCGGAAAACAGAAGAAAGTATGAAGGATGATGCTGCTACAGCCTCCAGCCCTAAGATTCGGCCAGAGATACTTGAGGATTATGGGTCATGGATGCTGGCCACACGGCCAAGAAGAAAAGGAAACCAGCAGAAAGCTAGGAAGACAGAGAGCAAGAACATTGGAGAAAGTAGGGAAGAAGTTGCTACACAAACTGGATCCTGGTTTAGCGCATTGGAAGCAGAGGAAGAGATCGTAGCTACTGAGGAGGATCAAGGTAAAACTAATGAGACCTTAATTCCATCAGCTTCGACTATGAACAAACAGCCAGAAGATCAAGCTAAAAATTAGAAGAGGGAAAAAACCAAGGAAGGGCGACAGGAAAAAGATAAGCAGGGAAAAAAGGAAAATGGAAAGACAAAAGGAGAAGGAAGCAAAAGCCAGAAACATAATCAAAAGTAGGGCTGGCATTTCGGTTTGCAGTTAGCGGGTAACCGCCGGTTTTAACCGAAAACCGCTGGTATCCAGCTAACCAAAAACCGACCGGTTACCTTGACGGTCGGTGGTCGGATGGGAGAAGGAAGGGGTCGGTTGACCGAGTAACCGATGGTGATTAACCGCGGTTATCCGACTAACAGGGCCAACCGAGACCCACTTAAACTTCCCCAAAATCCTGTCTAGATTCATCTTCATTCCCACATCTTGAATAAATAAAAAAATTCCCAAATCGGAAGAAGAAGAAGAAGCAGATCTACACTCTCACGTCTCACCACCGTCATAGCCAACAAGCCCTTGCCAAAGCCGCCACTTGCTCCGCCGCCAAGTCCTCCGCCCTTCCCACCGCCGGCACCGCCCCCAAGGCCACCTCCCTTACCTATTCCGCCGCCAAGTCCTCCGCCAAACCTGCCACCTGCACCTGCTCCACATCCTCACCGCGGCGAAGGCCATCGCCGGCGTCCCATAGCCCGGTTTCGTCTATGAAAGATGAGAGCGTCGGAGAAGCTTTGCTTCGGCTCATTTTCTGGGTAAGACGAGGGAGAGTGAGAAAGAGCAGAGAGAGGGAACGATTTGTTCTTGGTTTGTTGGTTCTCTTTCTTCTTTCAGATTGGAGGAGAAATAGAGAGAGAGAGAGAGAGAGATAGAGAGAGAGAGGATGTCGGCGATTGAGGTAGACGCAGAACGAGAGAGGTGAGGGAGGAGGCGATTTCGCCTTGGCGGGCGGCGGCTCTCTGGAAAGGAAGAAGAAGAGAATCGAGAGAGAGTGGGGAGAGAGATAGGTTAAGCTTCTCTGGAAAGGAAGAAGAAGAATCGAGAAGTGAGAGGGGGTTAGGAGTGAGTGGTGTAGAATTTTTGTTGCTTTTAATTATTATTATTTTTTTGTAGAAAAGGTAGTTTTCCGGTTGGCCGGCTAACCGAGCCTAAAACCGAAACCGACCGGTCGGTTGGCCAGCTAACCGTGACCACTCTCACGGTCGGCAGCAATAGGGGGTGGCTTAGTTTAACCGATAATCGGGTTTTCAGTTTTCGGTTAAACCGAAACCGACCGACTGCCACCCCTAATCAAAATCCCCTCCAGAAATGCCCTAGCAGGTTACTGGTATGATATCCAATCCAACCACAGCAAAGGCTAACCCCATTATCAAGAATGGCACAGAGAAAAAAGTACAGAAAGGGGATAAATCCCCTGCTGTATCGACTAAGCTGATCAAACCCGCTAACCACCAGACACCTCCAACATTAGGAAAGACTAGAGCAAGCAAGGGAACGACAGCCGATGCCAGGAATGGACATCAACCTAAAATGAGGCCACCTACTAAAGAGAAGGAGACCAAGGAAAACAATAAACGGTTACTTGAGACCCAAGCCTCAGAGGTGATTCAGCTAAGGAAGATCGATTTTGCTTCAGAAATGAAGGAAAAGGCACTTGTGCCAGAAAATGCACATGAACCAATGGATGCAGCAGTCACTGGTGCTCTTGAGGATCAAACGACGGTGATGGCCGTCGACAACCCTTGTTCTTGACCAGTGGGGGGGGGGCATGGAAGGACTCTTACCTTTTCTATGGTTAAGATCTTCTCCTGGAATTGTAGGGGTGCTCAACACCCCAAATTTCTTTCTACGTTTGAGTTCTACAAGGCTAGCTATAGCCCTGATGTTGCCTGCATCCTTGAGCCCATAATTAGTGGGGAGGAAGCAGAAAAGGTTATCAAGTCCCTTAGATTTGATACTTGGAAAATCTCGGATGCAGTGGGGTTTAGCGGGGGAATATGGGTTGCCTGCATCCTTGAAGCTTATTGACAAGCATAAGCAATTCGTCCACCTCAAGTGCATCACAGGAGGGCGTGTGTCCTACCTCCTGACTGCCATCTATTCGAGTCCTAATGAGCATGACAGAAGGGAGCTCTGGCAAAGGTTAAAAGTCATTGAGACCACCACAATTGAACTATGGCACCTTACTGGAGACTTTAATTCCATCACCAAGCCATAAGAGAAACAAGGAGGGGCTCCATTCAACTTTGCAAAAGTTAGATCCTTTAATGAATGCATTGATGAGTGTGGGTTCATTGATCTGGGATTCACAGGACCCCACTTTACTTGGTTTACTAGTTCAACTAGAATCAAGGAAAGGTTGGACAGAAGTCTGTGCAGTTTGGAATGGTAGCAAACCTTCCCAAACACCAACGTGATCCACCTCCCCAGGATGAGATCAGATCATAGGTCAATTCTCAATACCACCTCCTCTCTTTAGGGTAAAAGGAAGACTGATAGGAGATTCCAGTTCATTGTTGCTTGGCTGGAGCACAAGGAGTTTCAACCTTTCCTCCAACTGTCATGGAGAAAAGGATGTGACTTCCTACCATCTCTGAAAACCCTTTTAGATGATCTGCAAAAATGGAACAAAGATGTCTATGGAAACATTTTCAAGAGGAAAAGACAACTCCTTAACTCCCTCAAATCATTGGAAATGCTCAATGAGAGGAAGCCTTCAAGGAGCTCAATGGTGAAGGAATAGGATGTCAAGGGAAACTCTGTGACAAAAGGAGATCCTTTGGAGGTAGAAGGCTAGGGTCAACTGGAATGTCAAAGGGGATATGAATACACGCTACTTCCATAACTGTACCCTCAGTAGAAGGAAAAGAAACAAAATCATTGGCTTGAAGGATGACGAAGGGAGCTGGATCTCAAACCCTGACAAGCTTCAAGACATGGCAAGGGGACACTTTGTCAAGTTGTTTACAAGTGAAACTCTAAATAATAGGATCAAGATCACTGCTGATTTCCCTAATGTTGATGAGTTTCTTCTTAGAACAGTTGGAAGGACCCCTAATCCTATGGATATCAAGGCAATTATTATAGAAATGAGTGGACTGAAGGCTCGTGGAAAGGATGGCTTCCACGCTCTATTCAATCAAAAATGCTGGGATATTATTGGGATGGAATTTGCTTCTTTCATCATCAGCTGTTTTAACAACCCAGGGAGGATCCAAAGCATCAATGAGACCCTATTGGCTCTCATTCCCAAAGTGGAATCCCCAACATCTATGAATCATTTCAGACCCATCAGCCTTGGCAATGTTGGGTACAAAGTTGTGGCCAAAAGCATTGAAAACAGCTTGAAGAAGCTAATGCCAAAGCTTGTTCACCCCAACCAGTCCATCTTTGTCCCAAAATGCCATATCACTGATAATGTCATTATTTTGCAGGAAACTGTTCATTCTATGTCCAGGAAATGTGGAAAGAAGGGAAACATGCTTCTCAAAATTGACTTGGTCAAAGCCTATGATCGGATTGACTGGCTCTTTTTGGAGGAAACCCTGGTTGCCGTGAAGCTCACGCCTGAATGTATCAGACTGATCATGTCTTGTGTGACAACCACATCCTTTCAAGTGTTGTGGAATGGGGGGGGGGGGGAACAGAAGTATTCAGACCTTCCAGAGGCCTCGTACAAGGATGTCCTCTCTCACCTTACCTTTTTACTTTATGCATTGAAAGACTTAGTCATTGTATCCTTAAAGAGGTCAAGGATGGGAAATGGAAACCGATCTGTCTATCCCTTGGGGGACCTTCTCTTTCCCATCTGTTCTTTGCAGATGACCTTGTTTTATTTTCTGAAGCTACCTTAGCACAAGCTGACTGTGTGATGCAATGTCTGGATTTATTTTGTGCTGCCTCGGGTGAGCTAATTAGCAAAGAAAAGTCTAGGACTTTCTTTTCTAAGAATGTGAAGCATTCCGATCGTCTTACTATCTGCAACAGACATGGGATCCAGGAAACAAACGACCTTGGAAGGTACCTTGGTGTTCCTGTCATTCATGGTAGATAGAATGAACCAGAAGCTTACTTCATGGAAAGCAAGGACTTTATCCCTTGCAGGGAGAGTCACCCTAGCCCTGTCTGTGTTGAATGCCATCGCAACCTATGCTATGCAAACCACACCTATCCCTCTTACTGTCTGTGATTTAATAGATAAGAAGATTAGGGGCTTTGTTTGGGGATCAATGGAAGGAAAAAGTAAACCTCACCTGGTGTCATAGGATAAAATATGCATGCCTAAGAAACTTGGAGGGCTTGGTCTTAGATCTGCCCGCAGTCTTAATAAAGCATATATGATAAAACTGGCATGGTAGATGATTAACAGCAAGGAGGAACTCTGGGTGCAGGTACTGTAGGCAAAGTATTACAAGCACAAGAATGGGGAAATTCTCTCTATGAAGAAAACTAATCACTCCAGCCTATGGAGAGTTGTGGTCAAAGCAATGCCACTTATGAAGGAAGCATCTTGTTGGAGTATCAGGAATGAGGAGTCAACCAGCTTTTGGAGACACCCATGGATCGAGAATGGAATGGTGCTTGAGGATTTCCTGACAAGAGAAATCACAAAAGAGGAACTCAAGCCACCAGTGACCAGCTGGATACAAACCAAGGTGAGTGGGACTGGGACAGGTTGAATGACCTCCTGCCTAATGATAGACTTCTGTTGATTGCAGGTATGGAGAAACCTAGGCCTGAACTTGGTGAGGAATATATGACATGGGTACTTGAAAGAGATGGAAGATTTCGACTCAAGTCTGCATACTACCTTGCTGCAAACATGGAGGAAGAAGAGGAAGAGACTAGCTGGAAAGCTTTATGGAAATGGCAAGGACCGAGCAGAATCAAGCACTTCCTGTGGCTGGTTCTCCATGACAGACTCTTCACCAACAAGGAACGTGCAAGAAGGACAATTACCACGGACAATAGCTGCAACAACTGCAAGAAGAATGAGGAAACAATTGACCATATACTTAGAAAATGTGAGAAAGCAAGGAAAACATGGGAGAGGTTTCGACACAAGCTGGTAAACAGATACATTGATGGCTGCTTCCAGAACTGGCTCCTAGAGAACCTTCTTCATGAGGATTCTGGAGTCGATTTTGGAGTCATCTGCTGGAACTTGTGGAAGCAGAGGAATGAAGAAGCCATGGATGGAAAGTATTCAATGAAAAAGGCCTCTACTGCAGGATTGATGCCTGGATGACTATCATTCACCAAGTTAAGCACAGAGACACCTTTGATTGCTGGAAAACACCAAGACAGCACCAGAATGCGTGCATTACATGGAAACCACATGATGTTGGATGGGTCCAGCTCCAGGAAGATGGCTCAGTAATCCAACCCTCTGGAAAAGCAGCTGTTGGCGGTCTTCTTCGTGACCACCTGGGACGCTGCCTGGACGCTTTCACCTGCAATATCGACATCTGTACGATCACAAGTGCGGAGCTGAAAGGGGCGATCGAAGGCTTACGAATTGCTTGGGAAAAGGGGCACAGGAAAGTCATCATCAACATGGACTCTACTACAGCAATTGAGATTGCGAAGAATTGCATTGATGATGATCACAGACATGGGATCCTCGCTAGGAAATTTTTTTTCCTTCTTAATTGTGATTGGGAAGTTAAGATCAATCATGTGTTTAGAGAGGGTAATTTTGCTGCTAATTTCTTAGCTAGTTTGGGTCACTCTGTTACTTTTGGCACACACCACTACAATGTGTGCGACCCGAACCTTGGGTATTGGTTGTTACACGATATCATGGGCATTGTTCATGATCGTGAGATTATTATTAACATGAATTAGACGCTAAGACGTAACTCTTTCTACAAAAAAAAAAAAAAGAGGAGCTTGTATTTTTGCCCTTCCTAATTCGCATTGAATGCAGGATATGGATAAATCGGGTTTCGATTAGGGGTGTGTAATTTCAGTTCGTACCGGATCGCACCGAATTAAATTGAAGTTTGGATCCGACCGCATCGAATTAAATTGAAGTTTGGACCTAATCTAGTATAATGCGGTCTGGTATTTGGTCTCAATGAATTTTACAATTACTGAAGAAATAATGGACCGAATTGATATTTGGATCGCATCGAACTGATATTTTGATTAGACCGAATCAGACTTAATAGACCAAATACAATGATGGTCTAATCCTTGGTCCTAAAATGTATTTCACTAATGTACCATAGTTCTCGTGATTTTTATCCCGTCCGGACCGTATCATGGGTTATTCACATAGACCGAATGCAATGATGGTCCGGACCGTAGGATGTATAATTTTTGGTTATTCATTGGTTTTGAGTGAGATGAGATGTTTGATCAAAATTTTATTTTATTTTATTGTTTTAATTCTAGTTTTGAAAATTGTTCCAAATCATGCAGCGAGTTCAATGTGATATTTTATTTGATATCCGTCTTTTATACATTCTGAGGACTTTTTTGCATCACTCAGGTACCACTCTGAACACCTTAGTTTTAACACAAATTTTGAATTTGTTGAACAGAAGCAATGAGTTCATCATCATGATGAATAGAATGTAATATATTTCTTGAAAAATATTAGAATACATCATCTTATACTAGTACCACTCTGGTATAGAATGGTAAGTGATGGTTAGTATATTCTTATTATCATATTGTTTATCATTCTACAATATACTATACTCGTATTGCCATGGTATAATCTTATGCACTATCAAGTTGTAACACCATGATATATACTATAGTGGTAATATATGCCTCGTTTTTTGTTCCAAAATATATCAAAGTGAATGTTATTTTGAAAAGCACAACTAATATGATTTTTTTCACAAAAAAAAATATATTGAATTTAAACAATAGGATTTAAATCATTATATTTAATGGAGTGAAAATTATGTCATCCGATCTGAACTCCTCCTTCTTTGGGAGGAACGAACTGGGAGCGGAGGAGGGAGTGACAATTGGAAACTTCAAGGACCTGGCATGTGGTGATGGCAGCCGGTTTGGGTCACTAGGGAGTAGCCAAGCCTTACCTGGCAGAGCTCCTAGCAGTAAGAGATGCTATCACTATCGTCGCCTCAAGTTCCTTGACTCACGTGATAGTGGAAGGTGATTCGAAGTGGTCGTCATCCAGATTCCGCAAGGTATTATCAAAGGTTCCATTGGAGATCCGGTGCACCGGGAGTGTCGCCAGTTCTTAGACTCTTTGTTAGTTTGTATAGAGTTTAGGGCGGTTCCTAGAACCGCCAATAGTGCTGCCCATAGAGTGGCGCTTAAAGCACTGCTTGTCTCTCATAGAGGTAGAGTCTTTCAATTTTTTTTTTGTGGTTTCACTAGGGTGTCGCTTGTAGGGGATTTCTGGATAGTTTTATTTGTATAACTCTTGTCTTATCTTGATATCACTTGGAAATATAAAAAAACTAATAGCTGGAATTGAGGAACATAATTGACTAGTGTAAACGGAACAACAAAAATTGGTGGACCAAAGGACAAGTATATCTGAAGGGTTACAATTTGTTTAGAGTTTGTGCAGAATTGGTGTAAGTTTTGGGGCACAAACAAGAGTATGAAAATTTGAAAGATCCTCCAAATGGTAGTGGAGTTGCAGGTTACTTCGTAGGAGTTTCACAAAGACTTTAACTTCAACGGGAGCTGTGGAAGAGGAAGCAATGGTTTGTATGATCCTAGATATGCCTGCATTTTGCAACAAGGTCACATGATGTGATGTGTATCGTCCATTTGGCATTGTGAACTGCATTTGAAAGTGGTAAGGTCGATCGGACTCAAGGTGGTTTAGGATTATGTGTAGGTCCACCTAAACCAGCAGCCATTGCAGTCGACATATTCTTGTCATGATTATGTTTATGTAGTCCCCAAACTTCTTCTGGATTAGACCAATGTTATTGGTTTTTTTTTCAAAGTTTCACGGTAATGAATCAAAAGCCAGTTCCCTCAGGTAACAGATTTCTTCGCCTCTGCTTTGCTTGCATGCTCTCTGTGTAGGTGAACCTGAACCAAAAAGGAGGAAGCCCAGTGGCTCCTGACCTCGCCCAACGCAGCGGAAACAGCAGCAGCGTACAAAGGGGACTCTGCCTGGACGCAATTTTGTTCTTTCAACCTCTTGCCTTTGGGGAATTAGAGTCACGAATGATCATCCAGCTAACCACCAACCTTGTGGTGATCGAACGACTGACACTCGTCATTACGGCCTGTGGCCGGTTACACTGATCCTTTCTGGATAGGTTAAACTTCCTTTTCCTTGAAGTTGTACTCCTTCTCTTGCGGAGTTGTTCGTATCAACCAATGAAGGAGGTTACTTGCATGTGGTTTGTAAACATCAAATATGTACGTTCTCTTAAGGAAATAAGTTAATCGAGGATTTCTGTTCCTCTGGTTTTATGATTCAAATCCCCTGCTGTGCTTGGTAGTTTCCTTTTTCCCCAATTTTCATTCCACGACACCCAACGACCTCAGTCGTTTCCTGGACTCCCTTCCGGCAGCGGTCGAAATCTGAAGGAAGCTCCAAGTCCATGACTCGTTCGGCTTCGTTCGGTTGCTAGATGACTCAATCGCGGCCAAACAGCGACCTCGCCGGAAAATCATCATCGCTCGTCGGAGAACCTCAATCCGTTGGACTTTTTGGGCATTTAATTACTGAAACGACAGTTACGAGATGGAGGGTCCTCACTGTTTCGTGCTATTGTTGAAACCGGTCATTAATTACTTTTCTTGATTTTTATTATTATTATGGGGAGGTTGTAAAGCCAAGGAGGAAGATAACACAGAGTCTGGTTACAGAGGGAACCAGACGAGCAAAACAAAAAGAGGAACAACCTTCACCAAGACCTGCTACTGCCTAGCAAGGCTAAAAGACTCTAGAAAGTAAAAACATCCCCGAGATAATCAGTTCGGGTCAATAGTGACTTGTCTTGGGAAGCTTGTCCCAATAATATCCTCACGTAAGAGTCTCCCGAGAGCCGTTGGTAATTAGTTTAATTCATGCGTTCCGAAGGGAAAAACGAGGCGACTCTATTACCTTCACGGTACGTATGAACCAATCGAACTAACCAACTCTGAGCTATCTTCGGATCATGGTCAAGAGAGTGGCATGAGGGTGAATCGAGTCGGTCCTGTTCTCGATCAACTGAATAGCTAGTTTGGAGTCAATCTCAACAATCAGACAATGAATGTTCATTTTCCAGGCCATTTCCAAACATTTATGGATGCCCCAAAGCTCTGCGAGAATAGCCGATCCTGTGCCAATGTTGCAGCAAAAACCTCCCAACCAATCACCCTCGCTGTCCCTGATACACCCTCCTGCTGCCATGAGACTCAGAGTACCCTGAGCTGCCCCATCGGTGTTGAGCTTGCACCAACCAGTCGGAGGCGGGTTCCAGACAATGAGCCTTTCCTCCCTTGCTGGTTTTAGGTAAGAGTCAGCTCTATCGGCAGCTGATTTCCCCGTCTTTGCCCAATCTTTGGCTTTAAACAATGTAGTTGATCATAGTGGATCTTGACATTCTTGCTGCCTTGAAGATGAAATTGTTTCGATGTTTCCATATGTACCAACAGATGAGGGAGAAGAGGCTATTCCACTCACCTGTATCAGCCATTTCGTCATCTTTATTTAAGTTCTGTGCTAGCCAACTTTCCTGGTCTGCTGCAAAGAATTGATGCTGACTTTGTTGGGGAACTATCTTTTCCCAAACTTGTTTAATCTTGTGACAATCCCTCAAGCAGTGGATATTGGTTTCAATTTCTGTCCCGCGAAGAGCACTTTGTCATTGATGGAAAGGTGCATGTACTTCCTGACACTGTTGGTTGTTAATCTTCCTTTTGAGGCTGTCCACATGAATAACCGAACCCTCTCTGGCACTTTCAGCCTCCCAATTTTGCTACAAGGGATGACTCTTGTTTTTGGGATTTGACTTGCTGCTAATTGATATGCAAATGCCGTATTGAAGGCCCCAGACGCCGCTGGTTTTCAAAAAAGCTTGTCCTCTTCTGTTGATAACGGATCAAGCAAAATGGCGCGCAACTGATCCAAAATTTCAGTCGGCAGGTAAGCTTCCAGGTCAGCAACTCTCCACCCTGTCTCAAGATCCCAATAGTCAGCAAATTTTTTTTTTTTTTTGCCTCCATTGGGACGTCCACCCTCGCCTTATCAATTAAGAGTACCGCAGCAACCAAGGATCACACCAGAAATTGGTCAGTTTGCCATTTTTTACATTAAGGGAAGCCCCTTTTCGAATAAGATGGGCAGACTGACTAAAACTTTGCCAAGCATGTGAACTTCCCTTTTTTCCTTTAAGAATCTGAAGCCCTTTCCTATCACCGCCATATATGCTATTGAGAGTTTTAGCCCACAACACATTGTCTTCAGTGACCAATCTCCAGGCTCCTTTTGCCAACATCGCTTGGTTAGTCAGCTTAGTGGGTCGAACTCCTAGACCTCCTTGAGCTCGCGGGAGCGTCATTTGGTTCCAAGACACTGTGTGGAGCTTGTTCTTGTTGTCATCTTCCCCCCAAATGAAGCGTTTGTTATATTTATCAATAGCGTTTCACACCCCTGCAGGAAGAGACTGAGAAAACATAGGATAAAGAGCCACATTAGAAGTCACAGCTTTAACCAGAGTCACTCGAGCTGCCATGGATAAATGCTTAGGCTTCCAGCTAGCCAACTTCCTCTGGACTTTGAGTAGGAGTTCTTTGTACCGAGTCTGAGTGATTCTTCCATTGATAGCCATAAGTCCCAAATACCTCCCTAGATCCGAAGTAAGAGGAATCCCTGCTCGAGAGCTGAGGTGAAACGCCTTGTCCCTAGCAATATTGGGAGAAATAAACATGACCGATTTACTGAGATTGACCCGCTGACCGGAGCTGGAACAAAACTCATCAAGGCATTTTTTATGATATCTACTTGTCTACTCTCCGCTTCTGCAAACAAAATCAGATCATAAGCACAAAAAAAAAAGATGAGAGAGTTTTGGGCCATCTGTAGACAGCTTAAGGGGTTTCCACAATTTATCCTCAATGGCTTGATTAATGATCCAATTTGTGTTAGGACAATAACTAATGGGTCATTATGACTAATTAATATATTTGATGACCTACACTTTAATTCATTTAAATTTGACTTACAACGGCAGGAGGAATTAGCTAGTAAGCATATAATTTGATCCCTAAAAGTAATACTACAGTACCGTGGCCACCCGATTATGGTCTATAGTGGGATTAACAACTTCATTGATTCCGCCCTGACTATAAACCCTATTCTTTGGTAGCGACATGTTATGTTCTCTGAGTTCTCTTAGTTTCACAATCACATGTTCTTATTTCCCCGGTAACCGTCAACTCCTGCAATTCGCATTAAAGACAACAATTAATGGGATTAAAACAAGTTTTCCTCAAGACCGTTACAAGGCTCTACGGCCAGAAACGGCTTGCACCGGAAAAGGCTTAAATGGGCATTCAAATCGTCTACTTAATGACGAGCTAGAGCATTTTAAAGCTCCGATAAACAGAGCATTTCATTGTTGTTGCTTTCGCCATTATTTCGGGCATGATTCAAGAGCTTTCTCAAATCAATACGATCTCATGATCCTAATTAATAACTTCAATTAGTCTTAAATGGTATTATTATATCTCTTTAATAGATTTTAATCCCGCCCTTAATTTGGAGTTTATTGTTTTCTGTAATTTTATTGACACTCTTAATTGGGAGTCTAACATTTAATTGCTTGAAATGTCAGTTACAACACGGATAACGGTCTCCCTTTCGAATAGGGTTGTGGTTAAAACCCCGAGTATTGTTCTTTATTGAGTAATTATGATTCCAACATTTAGTGGGGCAATAATTTTGTTTTATATTAATATCTTAATCTCCAATTCATCAATTATGAAGGTGAATGGTCAGATGAATTTGAATTTAGATATTAAATTCATTTATTGGCTTATTGATACATCAAACCATATTTTGTAATGTAACTTTATTATATACATTTATTGACTTATTGATACCCATGTAACCAATGTCATGAACTCATGATACAAGTGACTAATGAGTCACTAAAGCGACATCCTCTTTATGGTGCTCTTTGGTCTTTAATGGTTCGCGATAACAATAAAAACAACATTGGACATTTATTCTTCAGATGCCCCCTAACCACCAAGTTGTGGACTTTAGTGGGATTGAGAAACTTCATTGATTCCGCCCCGACTGTTAAATTTAGTCTATGGTGGCGACATGTCATGATCCCTGAGATCTCCCCATTCCACATTCTCCACTGCGTCTGTATACTTTGGAGAGTTTGGAAGTTTAGAAATAAAGTGACTTTGAATTCTACCACCCTCATGTCCTTTCACTCGCCAGTCAATTTTACTACCAGGTCCTTGAAGTTTCCAATTGTCACCCCCTCCTCCGCCCCCAGTTCGCTCCTCCCAAATCCTCCCCCTCTTGACAGCCTCCACCAGACTACTTTTTGAAGATCAACTTTGATGCAACTATTCGTGTCTCAGGGTTCTCGTCTAGTCTTGGTATCCGTGCGTCAGATGGACATGTAGTGATGGCTGCCGGTTTGCCTCACCAGGGAGTAGCCAAGCCTTACCTGGCAGAGCTCCTAGCAGTAAGAGATGCTATCACCATCGTCGCCTCAAGTTTCTTGACTCACGTGATACTGGAAGGTGATTCGAAGTGGTCACCATCCAGATTCAACAAGGTATTCTCGAAGGTTCCATTGGAGGTCCGGTGCACCGGGAGTGTCGCCAGTTCTTAGACTCTTGAAATATTAATCATAAATCATATCATAGCTTCACCAATTTTATATTTGTTTGACCTTGTAATTGTTGCGAAGATGAACCATTCTGGATTGGCAAGTTATTGTGGCAGATGAAACCATACAACAATTAAATTGTATTTTTCTACAAAAAAAAAATTTAATTGTATTTTTGTAAAATAGTATTAAATCTTATGGTAGGGATGGTCCGATCATATATATTATCTATTATTGTTCGAACCGGTAGATACTCAAACATTATAAAAATACCATACTAGCGGGTGTTAAAGAAGTTAAAGTAGCAATAATCGATAATACTTATCGATTTGAATATATTGCTTTATTTTAACATGATCTTATATGGAATTTGAGAAAAATCGTCTTTAACATTACTAACGATCGTCTTGAAAAACAACAAAGTTAACTTTTTAACCTTTTGTCTTTTTTAGCTTCCTACGCCGGAGGAGAGGCGGAAGCTTGTGTTCTTGTAAAGGAAGAGAATAGAAGGAATATGGAGTTGTTTGGTTGTGACGCGAATGAAAAGTATAAAATGGGCAATAGGGTTTAACATTACTAACGATCGTCTTGAAAAACAACAAAGTTAACTTTTTAACCTTTTGTCTTTTTTAGCTTCCTACGCCGGAGGAGAGGCGGAAGCTTGTGTTCTTGTAAAGGAAGAGAATAGAAGGAATATGGAGTTGTTTGGTTGTGACGCGAATGAAAAGTATAAAATGGGCAATAGGGTTTACGAAGTAATTTTAGGATGATTCTTAACAATCCAATATTACATTGGTACAATATCATATATATTAATCACAGTTGTACTACTATGATACCATATTATTAATTTTTCTGATACAACTTCCGATATTATTTCCAAACCATATTCTTCATGGATGATATAACACCATAATAATATTTCCAAACCATATTCTTCATGGATGATATAACACCATAATAATGACAACATATTTGAACTATGATACCTTAGTCAAAAAAATATTAGTTTTAACACTATTTATCATTTCATCGGAAAACGTAAGAGAGTGAAGAAAATTCATAATTAACATCTTCCAACAACTTTAGTTATCTGGATCATAAAATAGTTTGTTACATGGTATCAGAGCTAATTTGAGCAAGTGATCACGTTTTTGAATCTCCACAGTTCTAAATATTATAAGTTGATTTCAACACAAGATATGAGAAAGCCTATGCAAACTTGAGTTCATGAGTTGTTCATTTGAGAAAACATGTAGAAGAGTAATATTAAATTTATTATTAACCTTCTCTTGACAACTTAAGTCATTGAGATCAGTTGAATTTTTTTTTATAATATGCTTCATTTTACATAATATTTAATAATATTTTTTTATAATAAAGGTTGGTGCACGACACGAGTTGTAGACTTTTCTAGTTCCTTTTTCTTTAGATTGTGGTCAAAGTGAAAAAAAAAAGAGGAGTCCAATTCCGTAGAATGTTCCAAATTGTTTGTGTATGGTATGGTATGGTGGGTTGGTTACGTACATGTGTGAAGAAAGAACATTAGCCTCACCACTTCGAAGTTTGAACCACGTTTTGCTTTTAATTAATTTGATCCACATTATTCGTGTTCGCTTTGGTAAGTGGTGGGTTGGCTTGTTCTTTACAGCCAATTAGCTAAATTAAATTAGGTGTGGATGATCATTATGGTGCAGAACTCTTGGCTTTGCGAGATGCGATTCGGTGCTCTTTGAAGGGTCTCACCGATGTAGTATTTCACGAAGATGTAAAGGTTGTTCTCGATAAGGTGCGTGGGAAAGAAGTCCGGGATGTGAAAGGTGGTAGCATTCTTGAGGAAATTCATTTGATACGTCAGCAATATGTTCGGTTTGCGGTGGAATTCGTTGGTAGGCAAAACAATTGGGCTACCCATTCGGTGGCTAAGAAAGTCCTTTCATTGTTTTCTGTGGAAGTTTCGGGTTTTGATTTTCGTTGTTGGTTTCTTTCGAGTTTGTAAACTCATGTTGTTTGAACATTGTTATCTTCTTCTTTCTTGGTAATACAAGTTAGCATCCGGCAAAAAAAAAAAAAAACCTAAATTAAATTAGATTTTTGGTTTAGCCGTACCAATGTTGATTTTTAACATACAGATTTTAGGTTTTACTTTCAAGATGAACTTCCTCTTCTTGTAGGAACATTTTTAACTAGCATGTTAAAAGGATGTAAAAAAGAAATGGATGAAGTGTGTGGTAACGAATATAACATAATAAAATAAAAAAAACTGAAGATGTTCCATGTTAGTAATTTGATTAGCAAACAAATTTGATGCACAATTACATTTTTTAACATACGCTAGTCCAACATCCCGTCAAATGATATCCATCGTAGTTACTGTGGACACAATTGCTCAATTGACACATCTGAATGAATCAATGTTGGACTTATTAGATCCTTATTAATTCATGTCAATATTAATCATTGGGGTCTTTACTCTTTAGAAAGCCCATTTTATAAAATCTCTCCCAGAAAAAAAAAAAAAAAAACGGGTAGCATCAGATGGATAATAGTAAAATAGATATACTTGAATGTAAGCACTATAAATGCAAAACTAATTGGAGTGATTTTTTTCTGCTCTACCTTAGGCAATACCTAGCCTTCAATTTTTTTTTTTTTTAAGAATACTTCCACAGGTTCATGATCCCTTTCTATGAATTCATGAGTAAAAATGAAATGGGTTATAATTATTCAACGAAAGAAAAAAGAAATTGATTATAATTGTAGCTTATATTGGATAAATACCAAAGACTGCAATTTAAAAATAAATTTTTATGGGTATATAGAAGCAATCCATAGATTATATATATTCCTTTCATATGCATGGGAATATGAGATCAACTTTAAAAAAAAAAAAATTAATACCAAACCTTAAGTGCGCAGTGCACTAAGTACCCTCCATATCTCCACACTCTGAAAGCAAACTAAAGTCCAATATTATAAAATGTAACAGAGAGGAACATAATTGTCTCTCTTTTGCTAATTAATGATATGATCCATCATGCATGCAAAAAATAATATAATTATTATTCGATTGATTGGCATAATCAATATTCGCTATGATACTCTCATGATTTCCTTTATCCTAGAGGTGTTGGAAACATATCATTAGAGTTGTGAAAGTTTGTGAGAAGAAAAGGATGTGGAAATGAACAACCTCCAAAGGTTGACAAGTATATGTCATATAGTGTAGATTGATTAGGTTTATATGCTTGGCAACTTGAATAGAATCCATTTGAATTTATCTGCGCTTAACCCTTTCTCCCTTCTGCGGAGGACAATAGATCACTTATTATTAGTCATGCAACTAATGGGATCTCGTATGAACTATCTATGCAATAAATAAAAGCCAATGAGAAAATTTGAATCCTCATTTCAAATTTTCTGCATCCAAAGTGAAAGTAGGAAGGATAGATTCGTCTGCACAATAACTTATTATTTTCTTATTTACAGAAAAAACACATCAGTAATGACTAATGAGATTTGAACCGTGGTCTCTTCAAACAAAAATAGGTAACATAACCAATTACAATAAACACATTTGTGTGATTTTTTCAATTAAAAACATACAGGAAGTTTAAATCTGAAAAATATAGGACTTTTCCACCAAGGTTAGCAACCGAAATGCCATTGATCCAAATATTGCATATTGAATTGCACTCTTGAATTTGTACAAGCGATGTAGAATTCTTAACATAGACTTAATTGTTATAACTATCATAAAGTAACAATATTTTTAAACACAGAACTTTTGAGTGAATATGGGGCACATGTGTCTTTAAGAGAGGGGTGTATATGGAAATGTTAAGTGATATTGGTTTGCCGAATGTGGATGGAAAAACACTACTAATGTAAACGGACCCAAATAGTGTCCCGACCCACTAAACGCTCAACCATCGTCGTCTCTCCAAACTTCTCATCAGACTCAACAATCGGCTAACCTCCTCTACCTCTATTACTAAAGCAAAGCAATTTTTGAAGGGATAAATAACGAAAGATTGAGTGTTGTTGGTTTATCCAACGCAAATGGAAAAGGTGCAATTAATGTAAACATGCCCAAATAGTGTCTGACCAACTAAACACTCAACCACCGGGTTACTTTCGCTACACCTAATATAAGAGTGAAATGGGAAATGTGCTTCCCCCATTACAAAATCCTTGCATCCATAGCAAAAGTAGAGAAGGTAGATTCGTGTTCACAGTCATTTATTATTTTCATATTTACAGGAAAAATACATAAGTGATGGGATTTAAATTGCGATCTCTTTGAGAAAAGACAAGAAACATAATCAGTTACACTAAACAAATTGGTTTAGGAATCAGATTATTTGTCGTCGATTGGAATTTACGGAATATGCGCCACTTCTTTTACGAGGTAATAAGCTCAATAAAGGATCCTTATTGCTACTGCAATTTACAATCAATAACGGGTTTGCTATACGAGCCCCTCTGCCGATGCTGAACACCGATCTGGAAGGACCCGGTGGCAGTTTCCCCGACGCGGTTGATGCTTTCCGTCAGAAAATCAGGGAAGCCGACGCCGTACTCTTCGCATCTCCGGAGTACAATTACTCTGTCTCTGAAGAAGCTGCGGAAGATTGGAATTGATTGGATTTCAATTTCCCTTTGATTGATGCTAATGGAATTATAAGTTCCGTCCAAGGAGTCAGGGCGACTTGGATGTCTTGCGGATCCGGATGGAGACTTCGGTGTGGGAGTCAGGGAGAGCGAATGCGGCGGAGCGGTCGATGAGTTCCGTTCAAGGGCGGCGCTGGGAGAAGCACTGGCCGACGGAGGAGGAGCGGCGGGAGATGAAGTTGCGGAAGTCCGGTGTGGTGGTTGCAGGTTGGGATTCGGGCTGTGCCGTGGGGTTCGTAACCGGGAGGGGCAGAGCGACGGTTTTTCCAGACGGCGGTTACAATCCTGACACAGTGTGACGGTTACGCTACCACTAACGACGGTTCCGATAAGTATCCCTCTCTTGGTCTTTTTATTATTTCTTTAGTTTTCTTTATAATTATCCTCCATAATTTATTTGTTTTTCAATTATTCTTTTGGCACTTTTCGTTTATATCTTCTACAATTATTGCGTAAGTTTGAAAATGAAATTCATGAGAGAAAAAAAAAATAGATCGGTTAGATTTCCTCTCTGTTAGTAGATTGCATATAATGCTTCGTGGGTGCAGCCCGATAACGGCTTTCAACATCATGCTCGTTGATTGTGCCGCTCGCCTGGGCTCTCATTCAGTTCGAATTCTCGACTGTGAGGATGTCCAAGTGGCTGCCCCAAGATCCCCTGGCTTGTTTTTTATTTTCTTATTTTGCAGGTTCCCTATGGCTACGGATGGAGCGTTGTATCCTTTAAATGGTTTATTGCATTTTATGGTCCTAGTTTCGTTTTCTCTATGTTGGTTTGCAGGGAGGCTTCTTGGACTATTGAATTCTCCATGTTGGTGATTCATCACTTGATGCTAAGGCTCTTAGAGATGCTTTACAATGGAGACTCACAACAATTGATTCAACGGATGGTGAGGAGTAATTTGGCACACGATCGGAGTGGACGGTACTCGAAGATGCAAGGGCGTTGGCGTCCCAATTCAGCTTCGTTTCGTTTTGTTTTTTCTCTTGTCGACTTAATAGGGCCGCCCATCTTGTGGCACAAAAAGCCCTTTCATCGGGAGCTCGGCGATTAGTCGACTCCCGCGCTCTTCTTTCTTCTATTTATGAATCTATGTTACCGCTAACTTTGACAAAAAAAAAAATTGGTTTAAAATTTTTAAATTAAAAACATACAGGAAGCTTAAATCTGAAAAATCATTGAAATTTTCTATCACAGTTAGCTAAGCCACTAACTCTCCCTAAATATTTTTTTGGTATTTGATACTTCTATTTTCATACTTTGATTATTTTAATTTGAGTTTAATTTCTATTTCTATTTATTATATAAAAGGAGAATAATTTTATAATTTCAAGCCCAATGTTATTGGTGCAAATATTGCACATCGAATTGCAGTATTGAATGTGTAGAAGCGATGCAAAATTCTTGACATAGCTTAAATAATATAACTACCATAAAGCAACAATATTTTTGAACATAGAAGTTTTGAGTGAATATGTGGCACATGTGTATTTAAGAGAGGGGTAAATATGGAAAGGTTGAGTGATGTTAATTTGTCGAATGCAGATTGAAAAGCCGCAACTAATGTAAATAGGTCTAAATGGTGTCCCGACCTACGTACTAAACGCTCAACCATCGTCGTCTCTCCAAACCTTCCCACCGAACTCGACAACTACCTAACCTCCTCCGCCTATATTGTTACGCAAAGCAATTTTCGGATGGGTAAATATGGAAAGATTGAGTGTTCTTGCTTGGAGAGCTGACTGGTGGGTTATTTAGTTTCTTTGACGGTAATGTGTAATCTCTTAACATCAATTCATTTAGTTGATCTTCTAGGTTGACTTTTGAGTCGATTAAAGATAAATAGTGTCCCGGCTCCCGTCCTACTAAAGGCTCAACCATCACCGTCTGTCCAAATCATCCCATCGGACTCGACAACCGCTTAACCTCCTCCACCTATATTGTTACGCAAAGCAATTTTTGGAGGGGTAAATATGTAAAGGTTGAGTTTTCTTGCTTGGAGAGCTTACTGATGGGTTATTTCATTTCTTTGATAGTAATATATGATCTCTTAACATCAGTTCATTTGGTTGATCTTCTATGTTGACTTTTGAGTTGATTATAGATAAATAACTATACTTTTTGTTGCTTTGTTATGATACTCCTTTTCAGTATCATCATTTTTCTTATTTGAAATGTTTTGTTGGTTTGTTTCCAGTAAACAAAGACTATTCTGATTAGTGTTAACATAGGGAATATCTTCAATCATACCACTTTTACACAAAATTTA